ATAGCTGACTCCCTCACCTCCTTTCCTCACATAATGGATGGCTCCCTCACCTTTAAATTTTTGCTAAAATATCACCTTCTCTGTGAGACTGACCCACTTAAAATTGCAGCCAGCTCTGCTTACCCCCATCCTGCTCTTCTTATATTTTCCCAAAGCACTTATCTCCATACAAGGTAATAAATAATCAATAGCTCAAAATGTTTACCCTTCGTTCTGTGTCTTCTCTGTTACCATATAAGCCCTGGAGGGCAGGCATCTTTGATTTCTTCACTGAGTTGTTTCTTAAGCACCTAGAGCAGTGTCAGGTATATTAATGACCTGGAATAAATAGGTTGGATCTTTCTGAGGAGTCCAGGATATAACATCAGTAAAAGAAGGACTGCTACAACTAAAGGGATTTGTGAGCTCAAAATCCCTCCTGCTATCTCTCCATGAGTAAGTGCAAAAACTGCTGACATTTGTTCTCATGTGTGAAACCAGTTTTGAAGTTACAAATTGCTACTTGATGTCAGGTCCAAGGGCCTACACAATAGCTTGCACATAGCAGGTGCCCGGTGGTACAGATTATAAGGGGAAGGGAAGTATCATTTGTTGAGCAGCTGCCAAATGATAGGCAGTGTCTGTGCCTAGTGAGCTACAGAAGTGATTTCATGGAACTGTCAACCCTTCTATCATTGTCTCTCCAGTACCTCGTACCAAGCCTGGCATGTATTAGGTACTCAGTAAATGCCTGCTTATTTCCCCAACAACCCTCTGAGGCAGGTACCGTTATTCCCATCTTGGAAGGGCCCAAGGTTCAGATTTAGGTAGCTTGCTTAATGTCATACAGCTCGTGAGTATCAGAGCCAGGATTTAAATTCTTCTCAGACAAGCTGCAGCCTCTCTGATTCTTTGAGAGAATGTACATTAGACCATCCCTCCGAGCTTCCCTGAAGCAGAGCTGTCTCCCAGCAACCCCAGAGATGAGGGGAGGGGTCTCTTTCTCCACCTGGACTCACTTCCTCCCTTTGTGCATTTGGCTCACCTGGAGGGGTCTCCTGCTACCTTTTGATTAATGGGTCTGCCCTTCCCATCTCCCCTGGCTGAATGACCCCAGAGTTACCAGCAGTTCATCTTGAATCATAAATCAAGTTCTCAAAGACATTGCAGCTTTGTGCTCAAAATCTCACTAGAATTCAAATTATTTGTGAAAGGCATTTGCTTATGAGTAGAATGATGGATTCATCAAGTCTCTCCTTTTAAGAAAAATCTGGATGGTATCTGCTGGTGTCTCCCTGCCCCCTCCAAGAAAAAAACAGCCCTAGTTAGTCAATTTCATGTAGTTAGAATTCCCCCAAGGACCTCATACTCGGCTTCTACCCTGGCCATACTAAAGAACAGCCCTAGTTATGTTGCCATTTTACATAGAGAGAAATCATTTGCAACTTGCACATTTGTTGTGCTTCCCATATACCCATGATTAGCTCGAATTTTATTTTTTAGCCATTGCTGAAGTGTCACGCACCAGCTATTTACACTGTATAGGGACAAAACAACCTAATATATGTCCCAGACCTATTTTATAGAAGCCAAGAGGCAGCCTCTGAGTCTCCGGTTCCCAGAACTCTAGCTCTGGGAGAAAGCATCTCCATAAATCTCCCGATGCTTTATGCCAGGTTAGAATTTCTCTTGGGAACTTTTGAGTTTGTGTAAGAGTTGCCTTTAAAGGAAATTGATGAACTATAGATGTCAGGCGGGTTTTCATTTTCTGTGTGTTTTTTATTTCATCTAGAACAAACAGTGGCCTTTAGAATTGGATTCTTTTCAGAGACTCTCTCTATAGGTTTCATGTTCAAAGGCTCCAGGTTAGAGGAGCTCGGGGTTTAGCTGAGTGTCAGAAATGACCAATTCTGACTGGATGCGGTGGCTCACGCCTGTAATCCCAACACTGGGAAGCCCAGGCAGGTGGATCACTTGAGGTCAGGAGTTCGAGACCAGCCTGGCCAACATGGTGAAACCCCATCTCTACTAAAAATACAAAAAAAAATTATCTGGGCATGGTGGCACGTGCCTGTATTCCCAGCTACTTGGGAGACTGAGGCAGGAGAATCCCTTGAACCTGGGAGGCAGAGGTTGTAGTGAGCTGAGGTCACACCATTGCACTCCAGCCTGGGTGACAGAGTGAGACTCCATCTTAAAAAAACAAAACAAAACAAACAAACAAAATAAAACACAGAAATGACCAATTTCACCAGTGCTGCTCTATTAGCAAAAGGTTGGGAGTAGTTCTTCAGTTGTATGACTATCCTGTGTACTGGAGGACATTTGTACTTCCAGCCTCATCCAGAAAATGTCAGGAGCACTCCCTGAGGCACTGTAACAGCCAGAGGTGCCTGGGCAATATTCCAAGCATCCCTGGTTGAAAACACCAGCAAGGCTATCTCTGAAAGATGGTGAACTGGGGCAACACCACTAAGTTTCACCATCTGTGAGGGGTCAGTCCAGATGGGCGCGTTCTTCCCACTGTAACCTGCTTCCTATTCTTGTTGCCTTTGATGATCTTTGTTTGCCTGCAAGTCGGGTTTGTTACAACATTTGTTTTCATCTCTGATTCCTGCCATATAAAAATGGGGGCAATGGGAAGGAGAAAGGAAATACTGAAATTTTCCCTCGGCCTATAGCCTCCCAAGAAGGGTCGTGTTCTCTGGAATGACTTTTAACTCTTTATCCAGTTAATGATCGGGAGAGATTGCTAGATGTAGGTTCCCAAGCCTAGCAAGCAGAGTATGGGGTAAGAGATAGAAACAGGGGCAGAAAAAAAGTGGATCCATCAGGACCCAGACACTGAGGTGCAACCAGTGGGTCTTCTCCACCTCCACAACTCATCAGTTCTGACTTGCTTGTAGATTCCTGAGTACCACTCATCCACCCTACAAGGCATGGTGGGTTTTCTCTGATTTCTAGAAATGTGAGCATTCTCTGCAAGGTGAACGGCCAGAGTCAGGATCTTCTAGTCGGGCAGGGATGATATAACTCCCTGGGCCCAGGAACCATCCAGAGAGGCTGTCAGATGAATCAGCATCTATTCATGCCCTGCCTTGCTTCTCTTGGGCATGACTGCCTCGCATGCCAACGCCCAGGCTTACAGGTCAACTATTCCAACCCTGCATCCTGCCCGCCCCACTTGCTGGGGAGTGCTCTCCATAGCTCTCAGCGCATCCTGTTTGTTCAGACCCCTTTGTCTTCCACTGGCGCAATCAAGAGAGAAGATTCCTCCGAGCCCCTTTGCTTTCGGCTTTGAAATCAGATCCTGGCACACCTGATTACACTCAATAGCTGGAAATGGTAAGGATGTCCGATGGCAGAGAGCTCTTGTTTTAAGCTCTGCATGCCAGGAAGGCAGGGGGCTGGGTCTCCTCAGGGCTACGCTGGAGGGGGCAGGATGCTCTAGCGGAGGAAGCAAACAGTGTTAACTTGAAGGGAAATGCACTTGAAAAGGAACTCGGAGCATGGGCAGCCAAGCCGCGTAGAAGCAGTGACTGAGGACACACTGTGGGGCTCAGACCCCTTCCTCTCTGCTCATATGCCCCTATATGGGAAACATTCAGTTCCTGCCCAAGGGAACCAGGAGGGCCAAACCTGTCTGTCCTGCTTTTTCTGTAGAAGTGTCAGCTCTGAGGCCTTGACTAGGTGGAATAAATAGTGATTTACCCCCTTAACCACAGTGAAAAACCCATCAAGCATTTGGATATGAAGGGCAGCCCCTGTGTTCTCAAGGGACCCTCAGCCTCAGACACTGCCTCTTTTCAAGCCAAGATGCTGCCCTAACACGCAAGTCCAGTGGCTCTAAGAGTCATTATGAAAATTTCACACAAACCAAAGGGCACAAAGAGCATCCGTGTACCCAAACCCAGCTTAAGAAATGAAATGTTACTGATGCAATTAAAGCCGCCTTTGTCCTTTTGGTCCCATCCTTCCATCCTGGCTTCCCCCAGCAGTAACCACTCAGTCATTGACAAGCAGTGTCTCATATGTTCCGGTGATATGTGCATCCCTCTTTGAAATTACTTAACCTTTTTGAACCTCAGTGTATTCATCGGTAAAAGGGGGCTACTGACAGGATGAAGGAAAATGATTTATGACAAATATTTGGCTGTTGTTCCTATGGAAAGGAAAAAGTCAGCAGAAGAAAATGGGTCAAATGTAAGACCCTTTCCAGCCTGGCCCCAAGTTGCCCTGACAGCCTCATCTCCTCTCTGCAGCAGTGTTCCCCAGATATGCCACCTGTGTCCATGCTTCTGGGCCAATGTGGATGAGGTGCTTACTTGCCTGCAATGCTGGTCTCCTGTCACGGTCTTCCTTTAACACTGGACTCCACCGTCCCCACCTCTGACAGGACCCAGAGGCAATGACTCCTTGGTGCTCCCATGGCCTGATACCTCTGTCTGAGCACTTGCCGTATGGCTGTGATGTTCCTGGTGTGTCTGCCTGGCTTTTTCACTGAGATGCTTATGCAGCAAGGCAGGGACGGGGTCTTCTCCAGCCAGTGGCCTGGCCCATTGCCTTCTGGCACATGGCAGGACCATATACAGTGAATGAATGAATTCCATTAAGAACATTCGTGAGTCACAGGAGGAGGTCAAAATATCAACATTAACAGGAGCTTGGAAGAAGTTGATTTCCACCCTCATGAATGACTTCAAGGGTTTAGGTGCGTGAGTGAATGACAGTTCCATCAACAGACTACAACTTTCTGCCCTGGTTAACGCAGGGTATCTGCATGTCCCCAGTTCTCCCTAGGGGCAGTTTTCTCTTTGAAGTTCCAAATCTTCTCTGTTCTAGAAGCACAAAACTACAGGTTCTCTCTCAACTCTTCAAATGAAGTTGGAACAAATAGAATGGGGACATGAACTTTTTTCCCCATAATTTCAATAAACAACAGTTTTAGCCCAGTAGGTTTTATGCAAGCCTTCCATCTTTTTCTAGGTATCTTGACACTTGTATTCTTTTTCTTCTTGCAGCCTGTGGAAATTCCTAGAGACAGAGAAATGTGCAAACCTGTTCATCTTGCTGAGAAAAATCCACTTTACCACCACAGAAACAAAATATTGGGAAAGAGTCTTGTGGTGAGACACCCATTGTTCTCTGGTAAAACATTTGGTTGCTACTGTGTAGACTCAGCTTTAGTCATGGAATTCTAGAGGATGTGTCTCAGAAGTGGGATCAAGAACAAGCCCACAGTAATCTGCACCACAAGCTGATTTGATACCATGGCACTGACAATGGGCACACAGGTCTACCAGGAAGGGAATGGGAAATGGGAACGAGAGCAGGGGTTGGGTTGTGTTCGTGGAACACACAGGTTTTTTTTTTTTTTAAACTTTCTCTTTCTAAAACATTTCATTTTTATGGAGGTGAAATTTATATAAGATGAAATTAACCGTTTTAAAGTAAACAATTCCGTGGCAACTAGATATCATGATGTGCAACCAGCATCTCTGTCTACTTCCAAATGTTTTCATCACCCCAAAAGCAAGACCCATAACCGCTATGCAAGCGTTCCCATCTCCCCTCCTCCCAGCTCCTGGAAACCCACCAACCTACTGTGTCACTATGGATTTACCTATTCTGGATATTTCATATCAATGGAATCATATAGTATGTGACCTTTTGTGTCTGTCTTCTTTCACTAGTGTGTTTTCAAGCTTCCTCCATGGTGTAGCATGCACCAGTACTTCATTCCTTTTTATGGCTGAATAATACTCCATTGTCAGGATATACTGCACTTTGCTCATTCATTCATCCATCAGTGTTCATTTGGGCTGGTTCCACCCTTCAACTATTGTGAATATTGTGCTGCTATGAACTTGCATACACATGTATTTATTTGAATACCTATTTTCAATTTTTTTAAGGTATGTACCTAGGAGTGGATTTACTAGTCATATGGTGATTCTATGTTTAACTTTTTGAAGAACTGCAATTCTGTTCTCCACATGGCTGAACCATTTTGTATTTCCATCAGCAATATAGGAGCACAGGTCAGATTTTTTGGGAGTCACATTTTAAAGTGGCACAAGACCCTTCTAGAGGGCTCTGTTCCATGCACACAAAACTTGTAGTCTCCACTTGAAGACACAAATTTTGCACAAACATGCAGGCAGAGAAAGGAGAGAAAGTGGACCCTCAGCAGACAAGCTGAAAGATCGTTCAGAGAAGCAATGGGCTTCACCCATCGTCTTGCTGCACTCTCCATAGCTAAGCAAGGGGCAGACTGGAGATTCCACTGGCTCCTTTCCTTATTTTCACTTCTTTCTAGTTAGTCCCCACTACTCTACCCTTTCCACAGGACTGTAGGGTTATGGTGACTTTCCTGCACCTAGCCAGGTTCCAGTGGTGGGGGACTCTGTGAATATATGATCTAGTGTTCAGAGCTCCCAGATTTGTGCAGACTGAACTCTACACATGCTACTTGTCAACATCTGTGAGCCAGAAATAGGAGGAACACCTTTAAAAAGAAACCTACAAACACAAAGTGATTCATAGACACTGTTGAAAGGCAAAGCAGGGCCACCACCAGAGCCCCATGCAATTAGACTCATCAGAGGGAAAGGGCATAACACTGGCTTTTTTCTTAAAGCCACCTGGAAGGAGCTGAGACCTATACTAAATTTATATACAAGTATTATTTGATTGGAAGAACAAAAAACACATTGTGTCTTCCCTTGCAGTCTAGTAGCTTAACTGTCCGCAAATTTTGGAGGAAAGGCCTTCCTGACAGGGGACTGGGAACCCCTGGGCAATGTCTTTCTATGAGACATGGATGTTTATGGTTGAATAAGGGGCTGAAGGAGGAAATAGACAACAGGAGTCAGAGAGCGAGGCCAGAGGAGGCCTTTGAGAAAAGAGAGGAGTTATGCCCCCTTTTCAGTGAGTGTGGGGCCTCTGGAGGTTGGCAAGAAGAGGAGAAGGTGAAGGTTTTGAGCACTGAGAGAATGATGTTTCTGATGGGGCTTTGCCAGAAGGGGGCTCATCACATGTGAGTTTTTGCACTCATAAGCCTAAGGGGCACAATGGGTTTTTTTGTTTGTTTGTTTGTTTTTTAAAACAGAGCCTTGGTCTGTCACCCAGGCTGGAGTGCAGTGGCGCGATCTTGGCTCACTGCAAGCTCTGCCTCCTGGGTTCACGCCATTCTCCTGCCTCAGCCTCCCGAGTAGCTGGGACTACAGGCGCCCGCCACCACGCCCAGCTAACTTTTTGTATTTTTAGTAGAGACGGGGTTTCACCATGTTAGCCAGGATGGTCTCGATCTCCTGACCTCGTGATCCATCTGCCTCGGCCTCCCAAAGGGCTGGGATTGCAGGCGTGAGCCACCGCGCCCAGCCCACAGTGGGTTTTGAAATCCCAACATATCCAACTAAGAACAGGAAGCCCTGGGACTCGGCACAGACTTGAGTCCCCCATTGGATGCAGTAGGTGCCTTTTTCTCACTAAGTGGAAAGAACTTGTTTTCACTCCCTGCCAATGAGTAAAGAATGAAGAGCTAGATTTTTCCTTGAAGGTGGTGGATCATGACCCCTCCTTGAGGCTACGCAGAGAAGCAGTGATGTTACCATGGAGAGGAGTGAGCCCCTCACCCACCCAGGTGAGAGGTCTTATCCTGACTTTTTAGTCACAATCCAATGAGATATTTTGCAGGGTTAGTGGATGCAGTAGGTTAAATGGTGGCTCCAAAAGAGATACGTCCATGTCCCTACCCCTAGAACATGTAAATATGGCCTGATTTGTACAAAGGGTCTTTGCAGAGGTAATTAAGGATGTTGCGATGAGATCATCCTGGACTACCCAGGTGGGTCCTAAATCTAATGACAAGGGTCCCGGTAAGAGACACAGAGGGGGAAAGTCACGAGGAGGAGGGGGCAGTGTGACCATAGAGGCAGAGACTGGAGTTAAGCAGCCCCAAGCCAAGGCACACCTGGAGCCACTGGAAGCTGGAAGAGGCGAGGAAGAGGTCTCCCTGAGAGCCTTCAGAGGGAGCCTGGCCCTGCAGACACCTTGATGTGGGGCTTCTGGCTGCCAGGACTGTAGAGAATACATTTCTGTGCTTTTAGGCCACTCTGTTCGTGACACTTTGTTGCTGCAGCCCTAGAAAACTAATGCAGTGGGGTCGCCCAGAGAGATGAAATGACTGGAGAGAGAGAGAGAGAATGTGGCCATCTAGAAAACTGAGTTCAGCCCCCGGACTTGCTGCTGGGGTCTGAGGTGAACTTTCCTAAACATTGTGCTGTGGAGTCTCTTTCCTCTTGCGTTCCTCATACGTTAACTTCTCATGGCAGAGATTGGGGCTCATGGTTCACCTGAGGATACTACTAAGGACCAGGGAGGTTTTATCAGATCCTCACATCTATTTGAAATAGTGGCAATAATAATGACCACGCTCTATAGAATGCTTAACATGTGTTAGATAGGTCACATACATTATCTCATTTAATCCTCAAAACAATCCTATATGGTTGTTATTCTCATCCCCATCTTACAGATGAGGAAACTGAAGCTCTGGGAGGTCATGTAATCTGCTCAAGGTCATTTAGCAAATGCTGGTGGAGCCAGACCTTGACCCCAGGTTTGCCTGTGCTTGAGCCACAGCATTACAAAAGGCTCAAGCCCCACAGAGGTAGTCGGGCGCATCCTGTAGCACCCAGCTGTCAGATGAGAAAGGATGTATTTATTTATGTATGTCTTTTAATAGCAGCACTGGCATTAGAGTTTCTTTGTCAGTAAGGGTTGGAGTGATGGGTTGATTGAGATGAAGGTTGCTGAGATGACCTGGTGGGTCCTGCTACCAGCAGATGGATGTCAAAACATTTGCATTGAGGGGGAGATAAAGTCAAAACTGGGACGAATCAACTTTCTCTCAGCTCCAGGGCTCTGAGGTCCTTTCTTGGCTCTCAGCCCTGTCAGGAAAAGAGGAGAACTCCCTGCCACATGGTCTCTCTGGTGTGAGAAGCTGACAGTCCACTGCTGAGCTTTCCCTGCTTTGCCACAAACAGAGGGCACCTCCCCACACAACTTCCTCTCCTGCTGGAATGGGAAGAGAGGACACTGGCTATTAAGAAAAGCTCTGATGAGCTCCTGTCCTGGGGCAAACTCTGTTTCTGGAGTCCCCTCTTATAGGGCTAAACTCAGGTGGGCTCTGACTGTTGGGGGTCCCCGTGCCTCTCACAGTCATGTTTTCAGAGTTTTGGGAGATCTGGGTTGGTTTCCCTCTTGCCATGGTTCATGCTGGCGTGTGGCCAGCATGGCAGCGTCTCCCCTGCCCTCCCAGATTTCAGGTTGGAGGGAGTTCAGTTTCAGAGAGACAATCCACAGGCCTGCAGATTTCCTCCCATGCAGACCTCAGTGCAAGATAAAGTCAGGCAAGGCTGTGCCACAGCACAACAGCATAATAAATCCCCCTCTGGCCTCCTCCCAGACTTATTGTTCTATTGCAGTTGTTTTGAGTATGATCAAAAGGAAGGAAGAGACTGTGCTATCAGACTGAGGAAGAAGGATGCTCTCCTGACCGCTCCTGTTGCCCTTGGCCACCCTTATTTTAAATATGAGGAAACCAAAGGGCAACGTGCAGCCTAACCCCATCCACATCATGAGGAGCGACGAGCTGCAGCCCAGGCCCCATGGACCTTTGGTGAGGCAGCAACCCCTGTGCAAACTCACTGACAGCTACCTTGAATGTCCAGCCCTGTCCTTTTACACACCATGGGGGGCTGGAAGGCCCAAGCACAGGGTCAGCAGCACTTTGGGGCCGGAGCCGGAAGTAGGCCCTGGAGCAGCTAAAGTAGCTGTTGTTAACCCTTTGGACTGAGAACTAAGGCTGTAAGGCCACAACTGTTGGAAATAATGGGCCAGAACAGGAACTCCCCAAGCTCAGCTGGCTCAGTGCCCACTTCTCCAGATAGTGAATGGCTCAAGTTCTTTGGAAATGTTGTCAATGTCAGGGCTTTGGCCTTGCCTATGTCCAGCCCAGGTTCGGGCACAGGCATGGGGTGGGGTGTGACATCGGCCACCACCGCTGGATTCCTGCAAGGAGCTAGAGCAGAAAGCAGCAACTTGCCTTAGGCTTCAAAGGTAGAAAAGGCGGGGCTGGGTGTTCCTCTTCACAGACTTGTAGACTCACACAGTCCTCTGCCCTCACGGAGGGACATCTGCCCTGCCCAACGCCCAGATGCTGATTCGCCAGGTGCCTGGCTGCCGCAGCCTGGTCACCTTTGTCTGGGCTGGAAGGCCACGTCTGAGCCATCAAAGGAGCCTCAATGGGAGAGGACGTCAATGTGCTTCCTCAACCAGAAAGGTGGTTTGAGTTTGGCCAAAGCAGCCCAACCAAATAAGTAAAAAGCCTGTCAATGGAAAGATGGGGGCTGCTGGGAGATCACACGACAACAAAATGAGAACCATTATCAGTCTCATCCCAGCCTGAAGGAGGGAGAGCCTTTGAAGCCACAGACAGGCTGAACAGAACTTTCCACCTGAGAGACGCTGGAGATGGGAGGTCAGGCTGCACTCAGCCCCCACGAAAACTGATCAAAGCCTGCTGCAGAAGGGAGGGGGCACACAGCTGCAGCTCCAACTCCCCCCACGGGCCGCCCGGGACTTTCTGAAGGCAACGGGGCTGCCTTTGCAGGGGCCTGTGGGAAAACCCAACACAGATGCACATTGCAGCCAAACCCCCGAGCACTGCTGGGAGAGGGAAAAATAAACCCCTCAATAGTCCTGAAAAGAAAAGGGAGGGAATCAAAGCACACAAAAAATGCAAAGACCACCCACCTGATGAGCGCCTACCTTTCGGAAACAAATAACTCCTGGCTTCCAAGGCGCACTTCTAAAAGAACAGACGGACTGAACACTCTGCCTCAAAGCTGCGTGCACCAGGGGATTTGTGGGAAGCCATGGCCCCTTCTAAGCGTTGGAAGCTTAATTTAAAGTGTCTTGGCCTCTGTGGTGCCTATTCAAGGGCTCCCTTGCATCCGCTCTCCTCCCTGGGAACCCGGGAGACAAGAATCCTCATTTAGAAAAGGACAGGATCCTGTGTGAACTCCTTTATGGTGGTTCTCTCAGACAGGACAGCCATATCTGCCAGGGAACATTCTAGGGGGCATCTTTCAGGCTAGATCCAGGGTGATATGGGCCCCTGCGAGGACACCTTGGAAGGCTGTGTTGGTTCTGCCTGGACTGGTCCCTCTGGGACAGCCTCAGCCTACCCTGCCTGGCCTCACCGCTCCTCCCTCTGGCCTGAAGCCTCCTTTGGAGGACTGACACTTCATGGAGACTGCAGTTTGATCTTTTCTGAAGTGGAGACAACAAAGCAAAGCCACTTCCACTGCGTGCTCTCTCAAAAGAATAGGAAAGCTCTTCTCTCCTCCTTGGGAATGGGTTTGAAGGGAGGGTGGAGTGTGCAATGATGGGGAGGCCGTGCAGGTATTTTGGTGGAGGAGGGTGTGTATGGAGGAAATGAGCTGCCCAGAAGCACAGGAGAAATTGACATGAGAACATTTCAGAAGCACTGGTTTAACCAGCTGACATTCTTTCCAAAATGGATGGACAAGCCTTTAGGAGTAGACAGAGGGCCTCAGGGAGGAGAAACAGAGCTGAGGAAGAGGCATCTCCCTTCCCCCTCCTCCGGAGGCTGATGCTAGAGAGAAGGCAGCAAGGCCTCACCGAGTGCCTACCCACCACTCACTAGATTTCTATCTTTTTATTACCTTACCCTGGGAGATAAATGGGGTTATCTCCATTTTACAGGTGACAGAGATTCAGAGAGGTGAGGAGAGGCTCTCCAAGGACTCCTATGGAAGTGTCAGCTGGAATTCAACCCTCAGGCAGCCTGGCTCCAAAGTTCACAACCTTTCCTACTCATTTCAGCCCTGCCCTGCCTCTCAGGGCTAAGAAGATGTGAGTAGATGTTCCATAAGTATGTATTAAATTGAACTGAACTCAGCAGCTGAACACACACAGGCCTCTTCCACCCTGACCAAGAGGATTCCTTTGAGGGTCTGGGGTATGGAAAGAAATTCTCTGAGGTGCTAAATAAAATCCTGCTCTGAGGTACAAGGAGGACTTTTTTGAAATTAATAGCTAATAAAGTTTATTCAGACCCCAAAAGGAAAAACGGAAAGGAATTGGAACCATTTTAAAAACAGAGTCGGTAGATAATAAAACTTCACGCTGGTGTTGTTGTCTTTCATCAAGAAGCACAGAGTGCTCACAGGCTTTAATTACATCTTCATCCCTACGGCCCCTTCTGAAGTTGGTAGATGCACGTTAATAGTACCTTTCATTTTAGGCATGGACACATTCCGGACCAGAAGCTTTAGCAATTCTCCCCAAGGCAAGCGGAGTGCAGAGCTGGATCAGGGCGCAGTGACTCTCCACACCGGCATTCCATGCCACCTCCGGTTGTATTTCCTCACTCCGCAGCTGAAACCAAGGACTTCATTGATGTATTTAGGGGGAGGGGGGTCTGAAGGTCTAGGAAAGAAGGTGGGCAGAACCAAGGAATTAGGCCTCCACTTTGGCCTGCACACCATATAAATCCCCTCTTTGTTCACCCATACGTACATTCTTTAATTTAGGCATGTGTTCATTTGTGTACATCAATGAGTTTGCTCACAGTCACAAGGGTGCCGAAGCCTGAGCTGGACCACTCACTTTACGTAATGCCACAGCAGACATTCAGTGCCTCTGATCATGAAGACTGGAGAAAGGTGTCTGGGCTGGGCCTGTCCTTGACACTCGGGAGGGAAACTCTCCCAGTGGACCCTGGGGTTGGGATGTAGAGGCTAAGACAGCTAGAGATGGGAAAGGGAACTTAAACTGCAAGGGAGTAATCCTTTTTTTTTTTTTTTTTTTTTTTTGCTAGTTCATTTTCAATCATTCATTTCCTGGCTTAAAAAGTAATTAATAGTAGTAATCGCATATGGCTTTTTAATGGCTCTCCATTGCCAAATACTATTTAAGCACAAATTTCTTCACTAGACACTGGAGCCCAGTGTCCACACTTGATGGTGTGGCTCCATCTGGGACCCCAGTCTCATTTCTTGTTCTTAATTTCTGCACAGTTATTCCTAATTTGTGAACTGCAGACCAGCAAAAGGCCAGGGCATTTCAGCAAGGGGTCCATAACTCTTAATACCACACCAAACATGGGCAGCAGCTGAAATCCATAATATGTAAAACTCAGGCAAATTTGAAAGGCTGTCAAATTCCTAGCAGCTCTTTGTCATTACGTGTTTTCTTGGGTACAAAGTTTAACAACTGTTACAAGAAGGGGCCTGCATTGTGATAACGGTTTTCAACCTGGGATCCAAGGAACCCTTCAGAGATACCCTGAAGTATAGATGGGGGAGCACAAGGATGGAGCAGGAGCAGATGGACATACCCCATCCCCGCACACACACAGCTAACTCATCCGTGTAACCAGAGAGAGACTGTTTTGATCAGTTTTGTACACTGGGCTTTCTAGTAAGATTTTATTTGAAGAAAGGACTCTGCCACAGAGGTGAGTGGGGTAGAGTTTGCAAGCAATGGCTACAGATGAAGTACATGTGTTTCTAGCCAGTCCCTTGCACAGTTCAGTGGGGCACAGTGAGAAATCTGTCAGTCGCCCTTCTGTCCAGATCCACACAGTAAGAACTCTGGGTTTGTTAGTGTCTTAGATGCATGAAGTCCCATCTGACTCTTAGAAATAGCAAGTGAGCTTGTAGATTAGCCAATCTTTTTTTTTTTTTTTTTTTTTTTTCTGAGATGGAGTCTCACTCTGTCGCCCAGGCTAGAGGGCAGTGGCATGAACTCGGCTCTCTGCAACCTCTACCTCCCTGGTTCAAGCAATTCCCCTGCCTCAACCTCCCTAGTAGCTGGGATTACAGGCACGCACCATCATGCCTGGCTAATTTTTTTGTATTTTTAATGGAGGTGGGGTTTCACCATGTTGGCCAGACTGGTCTCGAACTCCCAACCTCAGGAGATCCGCCCGCCTCAGTCTCCCAAAGTGCTGGGATTACAGGCGTGAGCCACCGCGCCCAGCCAGATTAACCAATCATTGTCAATGCAAAGACAGTATCCACTTTGCATATGTACTGCTGAAGGAATCATTAGAACATTCACTGCTGCTGAGGGTCAGGTGGGGAATTCTTTCTATACCAGCTTTTCTTGTGGGCCAAAATTCCTAGAGGGATAGTGGCCACTTGGGGTCCATTTTTTTCTCCTTCAGTTTCTACCTAAATTTGTCTTTGCTTATGTGGCTGGGGCCTGCCACTCAGACTTTCAGGACACAGTGTGCCCCCAGGCAGCCCGGGCCTAGAACAATTGTAGTAATAAGAGGTGACAAAGCAGGACCTTGAGACAGAACTTCCAGAAATTCTTTGGCTGAGCCTCCGTCCTCCCAGCCAGGTTTCAGACAGGGCGACACATAAAGAAATCTCCGAACAATCCAGAGCAGTGCACGTTAGCGAGCGAAGCTCAGGCAGGAGATGGGAAGGAATGCCTTTGTCTCTGCTTTCCACACTGCCACCCATAGCTCATTCTCAAAAGCCACCTCCCCAACACTCAGGCTCGGGGTAAATGCTACAAAACGGGGTGAAAACCTCTCATGACCTCCTCTGTGTTGCATGAACGCCTGTTAAAGGCGAAGGAAAACAATGGCAAACAGACCCAGGCCTGTCACAGCTGTGCTGGGGCCAGCTGGGATGTGCCTGTGTGTGCGCGTGCATGTGTGCGTGCACGCCGGTGCACACGTGGGGATATAAATATCCTTGGCTCCCCAGCTCCTGTGTGCTGGATCGTGCTGAGTGGGCACAAAGTTCTGCGTGTGTCCGAGGCGGGGAGGGGCAGCACCAGCATGCCTAGGCACTCTTGTTTATATATGGAAAGGCAGGTGGGGAGACAAAGGAGAAGGTTTGGGAACGGCTGTGTGCCCGTGTATGTATGGGCAAATCTCACTGTTGATGTGTCTTGGGGGAAATTGAGGGAAATTTTGTGCTTGGGTATGTGTGCACGCATGGCAGGTGCCCACACTCAAGTGTGCAGAGGGGGAAGCTGAAAGAAAGTTTCGAGATTCTGTGAACATTCTCAGTTAGAAAAAAATTTGGCAACTCCCCATACCACAGGTGGGTACACAGTCAATGCTTGTGAAGTTCATTTCCTGTACTAGTTACCAGCCCTTGTTTATACAGGACACAAGATGTGATCGGTAGCAAAAGCTCTAGGTCTCCGGGGTGAATTGCGGGAGAGTGTGTAGGTGGGAGAGGGTCAGGAGGGAGTGTGGGCATCACTGCCCAGGTCCCCTTGAAGTACAAAGGAAATCAATTTTCAACATTAATCCATAATTCCACCTATATATGTTCAGAGGGAAGAGAAAGCAGACTTCTAATTTTAGAATGACACCCTCCTTCAGTTGCTCCAGTGCTGTTTTAGCACCCAGTCTGCTCGGGCCAGTGGCAGCTCGGGTGTCCTCATGTGTGTTTATGGGTTTGAAATGCATCTGGCTTGTTCTGCTTTGAGCTTTAGTTTGTGAGCCCAGCCCCAGGAAGTGTTTATGAGCTTTTTCACTTTGCTTTATTCTGGCTCGGCTTTGTTTGGTAGCACAGAAGGGTAGAGTTTGACATAAATACTGTGTTCTTTGTGTGAGGGCTTCAGATTGCAGAGGGTCCTGGGACTGGCATTCCATAGGAAAGCTGAGGAGTTTGACCCACCCCGTGATCACACACCTGTAAGCGAACATTCTGCACACCTCGATATGGGAAGAAACCGAACTCTGTAAACAAACTCCTGGGCACGTGACCTCCTCCGAGTCTACTTGCCAGTTCGTTCATCCAAGTGGTGACCAGCTCACAATAGACACTCAGTGACTGCTAATTAACCATGGAATATTCCATTCCACTGCATTACCAAAGTGCCAGCGTCACTCCTCAGCATAGCTCAGGACCCTGTCCAATCAGCTGTCCCGAACACCCACTTCGGTCCACGGTTCACATTCATGTCATAGTCCTGAGCCCCTGCTCTTCCGCCAGTCTCGACCCAAGGAAGCAGTGGCAGAAATCTCCTGGCTGTTGGGTTCCATGGAGCAGAGAGCCTGAACCCACCCGGAAACCAAGTCTAGACAAAACAGAGCTTTGAGGTTTACACCCACAACCTTTGTGCCGTCAGAAGGAGAGGGTGCCAGGGGATCCACTGGAGGCTCCCTGGGAAGCAGAAGCCAGAGGTGCCGTGCTATTTCTCCATCTGGCCAAGGGCTTAACCCTGCTGAAGACTATTTCTGAGTGGAGTCCCCATGATGAGGGGACCCAAAGATGCTAATGGGGTTGTTTCCCAGGCTTTGTTCTGGTCCAGTGCAGGGCTCCGGTTGTTGATGGTGATGGAAGTTTGCTTTATACTTGGTCTGCTCGGTTGGAGTCCTCTGCCACCCTCTGGCAATTCACAACCTCTAGTCACTTGGAGACCTCTGAACAATAGCAGGACTCTAAAGACTGGGACCCATGGCTCCTCGGTGAATTCTGAAACTGCTTTGAGGTGCTGCCTAAAGTTCAAGGAGAAGCTTACCAAGGAAAGTGGACTTGGGGACAGCAATGGAAACAGAGACAGTGAGGCACAGGCCACTTGCTATCCCCTTTGTAGGAACTTTCAGCTCCTGTTAGCTAGAGACCTTTGCAGAGTCAACATTCTATGCGAACCAGTGTGGCACCCTGCTGGTCTATGATTCTGTTCAAGGCCCAGACATAACCAGCCCTTCATGGGCTTCC